TTCTCGTCTGGGGACTAATCTAAACAGGGGACTAGCCTAATAGGGGACTAGTCTAATAGGGGACTAGTCTAATAGGGGACTAGTCTAATCTGGGGACTAGTCTAATAGGGGACTAGTCTAATAGGGGACTAGCCTAATAGGGGACTAGCCTAATCTGGGGACTAGTCTAATAGGGGACTAGTCTAATCTGGGGACTAGTCTAATAGGGGACTAGTCTAATAGGGGACTAGTCTAATAGGGGACTAGTCTAATAGGGGACTAGTCTAATAGGGGACTAGTCTAATAGGGGACTAGTCTAATAGGGGACTAGTCTAATAGGGGACTAGTCTAATAGGGGACTAGTCTAATAGGGGACTAGTCTAATAGGGGACTAGTCTAATAGGGGACTAGTCTAATAGGGGACTAGTCTAATAGGGGACTAGTCTAATAGGGGACTAGTCTAATAGGGGACTAGTCTAATAGGGGACTAGTCTAATAGGGGACTAGTCTAATAGGGGACTAGTCTAATAGGGGACTAGTCTAATAGGGGACTAGTCTAATAGGGGACTAGTCTAATCTGGGGACTAGTCTAATTGGGGACTAGTCTAATTTGGGGACTAGTCTAATAGGGGACTAGTCTAATCTGATTCGGTATCGGTTCAGTAATAGACCATAACCGATTATAACGTACTGATGCTTTTCTGACGTCATTTGTCGCGTACGTGCTTTGTCGTGGTAGCATACATTAGGCGCGTTCGGCTTGAAGCGGCGCTGTGCAGAATGTATTGACAAAATTAATCTTTGCAATGCAGAGAAAACACAGAAGCTGCATTAGAAGTGGCATTTACATGCATTTACACACTGTTTAATGCAGGACATGAATGTATTTAACCTGCAATTACATATAGATATTTTAAACATAAAACGTTCAATACTGATATTTGAAATTATTAAAAAAAAAGAAAGAAAAAGAAAATACTTTATCGATGATACTAAAACCGCCAGTAGGTGGCAGTAAGTCACTGTTAATAAGTGAGTCATTGCGACTGAACCGAATCATTTAAACGCTTGATTCATTCAGGAACGAAACACCGTCGTGTTGTTCAGAGACCAAATTGGAATTATATTTGTTGGCGAAATAGAGCAAAAGCAGTCAATATTGTGTCTAAAACGTAAGTGTCTTAATATTAAATTCTTGTTTATTGAACTGCTGTATAAAATACATATATATATTAATTTATTAAAAAAAAAAAAAAAGATAGACATAGATCATATATCTGACTGCTTGTATTTATTGACAAAATTGTATACATGTGAACGGGGATGTAACGAGTCACTCAACTCACGATTCGATTCACAATTTTTTTTTTTTTACAAAATGAGATTTTAAGACCAATTCTAAATTAAATGTGTGCTTTTATTATTGCTTGGACAAAATGCTGCACGTTTCATTTTGTGTAATTGAAATATAACACTATAATAATATACTAATATAGCACTTGTAAATTATTGCTCCTTTGTTGATTCTGATTGCTTCTATTGTCTTCATTTGTAAGTCGCTTTGGATAAAAGCATTTGCTAAATAATAATATTTAAATATAGTGTATATGTAAATAACAAAACTAAATTGAAATTTTAAAACAAGCCGCAAATAAATAAATAAGTAACACAAATAAAATAAATCTCTTCATATAAACAAACTAAGGCTTTGTCTGTGCTCTTGACATTTAATATTAGAGGCAACCACTGCATTTTAATCACGATCCAAACAAAGATGCTGCTTACATGCAACACCAGCAGTTTTTAATCTAAATTGGATTGTATAATTTCGAAATTAGAAGCAAATACAGAATGGTTTGACCTCAGTTTTGTGAAACTATACATAAAAAATATCTGCATGAAACAGAAACAGCAGACGAGCTGAACGAGACGCAGATGCACTCTCTGCCAGCAGGTGGCGCTTAAAGCGTTTCCTTAGTTACCGTTGTAAACAAAGCAGAGCTGCGCTTATGAACAGCAGTGATACAGCGTTTCCTTGGTTACCGCTGTAAACAAAGTAGCGCTGCGCTTATGAACCGCAATGATACAGCGTTTCCTTGGTTACCGCTGTAAACAAAGCAGCGCTGCGCTTATGAGCAGCAATGATACAGCGTTTCCTTGGTTACAGCTGTAAACAAAGCAGCGCTGCGCTTATGAACTTTAATATGCGTTATACAGAGGCAAGATGAAAAGAAAAAATACCATCTGAACTTTTCTAAAGACAGTAAATTCCTCTCAGACATGCATTCATATAAACTCTTACCCCTAACTGAATCGTGATTTGTTTAGCATCTCAACCGATTTGAATCGTCACATATTTGAATCGATTTTCAACCGGCTCGCGGTTAATCGTTACATCCCTACATGTGAAGTAAAATTGAGATATCGACTTGAACCGAATCGATGGCATGATAACCGAACCGTGAGACCAGTGTAGGTTCACACCTATAGTCTAAGCGGTTTCTGGCTCTTGTTTGACTCTTGTTTGTGTGACTCCAGCAGGTTTACGCTCCTCGACCGCCGGATCGGGTGCGTCTGTCGCGCTTCCAACCCACGTTCCCGTATCTCTCTCACACCATCATCGACCTCCCCCCCACCATCGCTCTGTCAGACGGAGAGGAGCCTCCGCCATACCAGGGCCCCTGTTCCCTTCAGCTGCGGGACCCGGAGCAACAGCTGGAGCTCAACCGCGAGTCGGTCCGAGCGCCGCCCAACCGCACTGTGTTCGACGGTCCGCTCATCAGCACCGAGGGCGCTCCTCCAGCCTACAGCGAGGTCATCGGACACTACTACCACCCCACATCAGTGCCGCGGCACGCACAGACCCAGTCCACACCGCCGCTGGTGCAGGGCTTGATCCACATCAGCCACACGGACAGCAGAAACACACGCAACAAAGACAAACCCAAAGCCCAGCTCGTCTAACGCCAGCGAGAACTTCCTGCTGCACAACAAGATGCGGCTTCTCTTCCTCTTCCGTTGTTGCTTTCTCACTCAGACTTTCTGTTAATATTTACGTGTTATTATTTGTCCTCAATGCACTTAGGCTGATGATGCATGGGCCAACTTTTTGAGCAGTCAACGGCAACCAGGTGAGACACAGGACCCAAGTATCCAGATAGAAACGTGTTACCTATTTTCAGTGGGAAAGTGCCCAAGCAACACTGCTCAAAAAAGTTGCCCGGCAAAATTGCTCAAAAAGTTCATCATCAGCCTTCGTCTCTCTCTGTACTCTGACAACAAACAAAACCCGCTTCCTTTCAGCCCATTTCCCCGAGCGATGGAGAACACTCGGTCTTCCTTTTAGAAACACCAATCGGAGTCTTGTGATTCTTCATCGCAGCATTTCTGTAAAATGTGCATGACTTCCTCATGAGAGTCTTGCACAACATCCGATGCATCAGACTGTTCCTGCAGCATACGCCGCTTCAGCGTTAATATACGTGTGTGTATATAGGCTACTATATAAATATATATATACATGGAAAACTGAAAAAAACACGATTTTAGAGTTATTTATATAAATGTCTAAAATTGCACTATTTTTAATATAACGATATGACAGGCCTCGGCTTGTGATCGGTCCACAGATGGTGTGAGTGTCCTGGACGCTGGTTACTGATGAGTGTGATTGAGTTAACTGGTTAACTCTGCTTAACTCAGACTCACTGCTCGACTGAACAAATCTGAATCAGGAACGTCGCTGAGAGTTCAACGCTAGTCGTTTTTCAACTACTTTACTAGATTGCTAGTGTAGGTTAATTCCAGAGCTTCAGTTTCTCAAATGTATTTGCCTTAATTTTATTTTAGATTTAGAGATCGGTTCACATGCGGCGTGTCTTATAGCACTTTACCGACTCGCGGCAGGAAAACAATCGGTGAGCTGTAGCCGCTGGATTCGTTCGGAGTAAACGAGCACTAAAGCAAACGAATATGCAACTGCTCCCTGATCGGACGACGCGCGCAGAGCTGAAATCACATCATGGGATCCGGAATGATCCGGAACGTCCACGAGGTCTTGAGCTTCACCAGGAGACACAGCCGCTCTGATTCCGAGTCACTGAATCAATGAATCTTTAATTGAACACAATCTCATTCACTCGCTGCCAAATAGTGACTCGCGGAAACCAAGCGTGGACGAGCCAATCCCATGATTCGGTCCGCGCTCGTCTGTCCGCTCCGGGAATATCGGGTCCGGTTTAGCTGTGCTCGCTGTTACTCCAGAGAATCACTGCTAACAGGGAGTCAACAGCTGGAGAGAGAAACTATACTAGTACTAGTACTGTACTAACTATACTATACTACTATTCACATTACTAATGTAGATTGAAGTCTCATAGATGTTCAGAATCTGACATTTGTGTAATAAATATTCCATATTATAACGGAGTAATTGGCCAAATGCAGACTTTAATCTGGCCGTTGAAATGGCAAACTAGTTAGTTGGTAACTGACTACCTGTGGGTTGTTATTTTTATTATATTTTAGTCATAGATGTTCAGAACGATTCAAGTGGCATTTTATAATAGATACTCCATATTATAACTGAGTAATTCCATATTATAATCTGCTAAATGCAGACTTTAACCTGGTAACTAACTAGCTGTGGGTCATTCTGTTTATTATATTTTAGTCATAGATGTTCAGAATCACTAGTTTGCCATTTTTATAATATATGTCCCATGTTGTAACTGGCCAAATGCAGACTTTAATTCGGCTGTTGAAATCCCAAACTAGTTAGTTGGTAACTAACTACCCGTGGGTCGTTCTCTCTCCAGCCGTGGCGTGATGTCTTCCCTTTACAGAGACAGCCGATTGTTTCCTGTGAGATGCCAGTGTGTCACATGCCCCCATCAGCCAATCAGGTGGCTGTTGACAGCAAGTGGCATTGTGTGCATCATGATGATGATGATGATGATGATGATGATGGTGAGGTAGTTTAGTGGAGAGAGTTGCAATATACAGACTGTTTGCCTTTTGATAATGTAGTTTGTTGTTTAGCTCAGATTAAAGATGTACTAGTTGTTTTTGTATTGTTGCTTCTCGTATAAAGGTCATTTTTGTTTCACTTAACGAACGGCAGATTTGAGCTGTTCACTCGCCTTTGCTTTAGTCACTCCGTCATCAGCTCGTCTGAGGGGCTCGTTAATGTGAGTGTGCCTTCCAGTCGCCAGTACAGACTCGTGTGCGTGTGTGTGAGTGTGTGAGTGTGTGTGTGTGAGAGTGAGTGTGTGTGTGTGCGTGTGTGTGTGTGTGCGTGTGTGTGAGTGTGTGTGTGTGTGTGAGAGTGAGTGTGTGTGTGTGCGTGTGTGTGTGTGTGCGTGTGTGTGAGTGTGTGTGTGTGTGTGAGAGTGAGTGTGTGTG